CACCTCGATTTTGGACGTCTCCAAAACTGTGAGACAGTACATTTCGGTTGCTTAAGCCACTCAGATTGTGGTACTTTGTTACAGCAACCCCAGAAAACAAAAATACTCTCAGACTATTTAACCAGCTTCCACAATTCCATGAGGTCAAATCCCTATAACAAATCCCCTAAAAATGTGTGTATATGTACTTTAAAATATATAAGATATCTCCTAGTGGTTCTATCTTCTCTGGTCAAACCATGACTGACGTAGAACATGTATTTTCATTTTTTTGAAGAAATACCTGACTGGAATTGCTAGGTCATATGGTAAGTATAGGTTTTAGTTTAAGAAACTGACAAACTTTTTCCAACACGTTGCCATTTCTATATTTACCATTTCACATTCTCATCCACCAGCAGCGGATGAGAGTTCCAGTTGCTCCACACTCCACAGCCCTGCTACCCATTCTAGCAGATGTGTAGCATGATCTCATTGCGGTTTTTACTTGTATTTCCCTGATGTTGAACAGTTTTTCATACAATTATTGGCCACTGGTATATCTTCTTTTGTAAAATGTCTGTTCAAATCATTTACTAATCTTCAAAATGGGATTATCTTCTTATCATTGACTGGAAATAAGTTGTTTATATATTCTAGATAGAAGTCTGTTGTCAGATCCATGTATTACAAACATTTTCTCTCAGCCTGTTGCTTGCCTTCTTTGTTTCTTAATGCTGTCTTTTGAAGAGTAGAAGTTTTATATTTTGATGAAGTCTAACTTATTGATTTTTTTTCTTATATGGCTCATGCTTTTTGTGTTATCTGAAAAAATACTTGCCTTCTTCACGGTTACAAAGACTTTCTCCTATGTTTTCTTTTGGAAGCTTTATATTTTTAGCTTTTATGTTAAGTTTAAGACTCATTTCTAGTTACAGTTTGTGTGAGTTTTGGGAAGAGTCAAGGTTCAATTTCTTTCCCATACAAATATCCAGTTGTTCTAGCACCTTTTGTTAAAAAGACTTCCCTTTCCCCATTGAATTACTTTGTAAAAAATTACTGAGCATGTATGAGCATCACAATTTTTAATCCTATTAGAACTGAATGTTCCCAAGGCGGGTGATGCCCCGACTGGCCTCCTTCCCTTAGAGAGCCTACAAGACAGATGAAGCTAAGACTAGAGCAAGGGAATCCCTATCTAACCTTCGTTTTTGGACACGACACTTGCATGATGTTTTCCACTCTTAGGAGTCATTTGCCTTATTTTCCTATAAACTCAAAAACAATATACTTTGTTGTGTGTGTTTGTCATGGGAAAGGGAAGAGCTTTTGTGGCTACCACCTAGGTTTTCTGCTGCCTGTGTGAATGGCTGAGGACTTCCTCTTTTCTTTGTTTGCTCTACACTGATATGACCAACTTACAACTTAGGATTCTGGAGAATGGAAGTCAAATCCTTAAAGCACCTAGCGCAGTGCCCTGAGCATGTGTGGAATTTAATCAATGGCATTTGAGATTACAGCAAATTCACTATCTCTCAGTTTCCTTGTCTATAGAAAGGCATATGGATTCATCTCAATTTAGTTCGATTCGATTCAGAATCATGGGCTATTCACGGAAGGAAAGGCCATTGACTGTGGCCAGGGTAGGAGAAATAACACTTCAGCCAGGCTGACTTGCTTGTCTCAGAGACCATCAGCATGCAGAATCCGGAAGAGACCGTGCTGGTATCTTTGTTCACATCACTTATCTTTGAGGTCAATATTGGTCTGAATATTCTTCAGACTAGCTGAAATGAAAAGAAACCGTTTTGTAACCATCTGTGGTTTGTGCCTGTAGTGACTGTACATATTTGCGCTATATCTCTACGCCCCGCCGGCATGGACCACACCTCGTGTCCCCTCTCCCTCACCACCTGTACAGGTAAATCCTCATCCTAATGAACCCTGAGGGCAACCTGGAGTGAGAAGTAAAGGGAAGAGACGTCCTGAGATGGCATCATGCACCCCGAGGTGACGATGAAGGATACGTGAATGTTGTTGCCTGACAGCCGGGCGTCGTGGCCCCATGTTGCCATGGTGACGGAGGCATGTTGACACCAAGTGCGTGAGCAGCTCCCATGCTTTTTAACAGCAGCTGGTCAGTGCCACCGCCGTCCCTGAATTGCTGCCCCCCTGAGCTGCTATTTGGCCCCAGCCTCCTGATCTCTGTTGACAAATGGTTGTCCTTCACAGTCAAACTACTAACAGCACTCTAATTAATGAATGTGCTAATTATTCTTCCCTACTCCCAGCACATTTGTCTAACTAACCTGTCACACACAGATCAGCACAGCATATGCATAATTACCAGGGGCGCTGGGAGCAGGGGTTGGGCGCGAGGGGGTGGGCCCCGGCCTTGTAGCCGGGGGATGTCTCTTGTTAAACTACCTTTACTAACCGGCAGGTGTCTTGGGGCTATGTTATTTCCTGCGAAGTATTTATGTTTTCCTTTCTTTCCTTTTTACAGACCTCTCTTCAGGGCCGCGGGGCCACTGTTGAATTGGCTAGGCTGTGAGGGGACTGCCAAACGCGGGCGCAGAAGGACCAGGGAGTCCCATGTTCTGGAAACGATGCCAGTAGCAGCACTTAGGGTGGTTAAAACCCCAGACTTTGAAGCTAGCCAGGCCTGGGTTTGAACCCTTCTTCTGCTCCTTGCATGTCCTTGACCACATTTTTTAACCTCTCTGAACCTCAGTTTCACCTGCTGGGCAATGGGGGGAGTAATTTGTCCCCAGAGGGTTGCACCGAGGAACACACATGAAGCTCTGGGCACAGTGCCGGGCACAGCCTAGGTCCCCAGCCCCAGCTGCCAGTGCATCCAGACGCTGGGCTGCTCAGGGCTGTGTCTGGCTTGCCCAGGGCCACCTTGTGTGGGAATCCGCGCTGGCTGTGCTCCCCCATCCACCCCTCCCCCTTCCACCCCTCCCCCTGCGCCCCTTGTCTTTTTGTTCTGTCTCAGCAGCTCTCTATTGAGATGAATGGCATTTCCAGAGGCTTCACCTCTGATAAGTGTTCCTCTGCAGCCGCAGCCAGAATCCTAATGTGCGCTCTGTAATTTAATGGCCATCTCGGCCGACTATTTATTAACAGGCTTCTCCCGGGTGAAGTGGGCTCGGCTGCACCAGCCGGGCCTCTGCACGTGCTCTCCACAACGGAGCTCAGAGGGGGTGTCCCTGAACCTCTTGCAGTTTCCTTCTGGGGGTTCTAAAGTGCAAAAACTACACCTTTTCACCCTTGTTTGTGGGGCTCCAGAGGCTTGGGGCCCCGTGTTCCATGCAGCTGGGAAGATTTCCAGTGGTATTGATGGCCGACCCGTTGCGTCCTGGGGATGCTGTTTTCTGTTCTGGCAGATGCAGCACCAATTTGTGCACCATAAACACAAACACTAGCACTGGATGGAGACTGGGATGAGCTTTAAAGGCAGCAGGGTGTAGGATAGGGAAACTTCTTTAAAAACTGGAAATTTTAATATGGGATTTAAGTGGTGGGCAGTAGTAGGTACCCAGCACTCCCCCTCCCAATTCTGCTTTAGGGACCAGTCCCCTCAGCCATATAACTGTGGGAACTAGCAGGTTCTTCTTTCTCCTGCCTCCGGGTTGACCTCCCCGGGAAGGACACTCGAGCTGGCCTCTGCCGCTCTGCGTCTCCCACACTGACCGTGCCGAGACACATCTTCCTGCTGCCACCAGTTACAGTGGCCCTCGTTCTCTTTCAAAGTGAAGTTGTGATAAAAACGCCTCTTAATCAAGGCCCGGTAGTTGAGTCTGGGACAAAGATCGAAGGCGTCTCGCGTTGAGATTGTCACACACCCTGAGAAAACTGTCCTGCAGAATCCCAGCCACCACCCAGCCCACCTGGCAGGTCCATTCTCACATCTGCTCACGTTTTCAAAACTGCCAAAGGGGTTCAACCCAGGTCCAGTTGCTCGTTTCACAAAGATCCAATTATTGCGACACCAAGGATTGCCAAGGAAGAAAGGAAGTTTTCAATATGGCAGATGCCTTGTGGGGAGAAGGGGAGAAGACGCCTCAAATCCATCTCCCTGGCTTTTAAAAGAGGAGCCACATGCCTTGCGGCAGGTTGCGGGGATGGTGGACCCGGGTCGGGAGGTCTCCCGGGGGCCTTCGACATCTCGGCTCCTTTGCCTTGCGGAATATTCACCACTTCTGGGAAACGACTCAAAAGTTCAAGTAGTTATTAATAGTTAAGGGAGAGGATTATTAAAAAACATATAACAGTCATCGAAATTGGTTCACAGAGCAGCAGCTTACAGACAGACAGCAGAGCCTCTCTACTCTCGTGATTAAGTTGAAAAGAATTTCAGGGAAGGTGTTTCCACAGTTGCCACAGAAAAGCCAGTTGCATGTTTAACACTCCCTGTTTGAAAGTTTTCCTCGGGGGTCATCTGCCACTCCATCCTGCCCCATTAACCAGATTCTCTGGTTTGGTTTTTAATGCTTTGGTTTAATCCACTCATTACTTTCCTGACTACTTTTCTGCAGAAGTGGAGATTCCAGCCGTCCCCTTCTCGTCACCGTTCCTTCCCTCTCTCCTTCGAGCCTACGTGGCTGCCACGCTGGGCCCTGTCATGGCTTTAGTGCTCATTTCTTTCCTGGAATTCAAGGAAAGAAGGGTAGTACTCAGGACAGAGATCATTTTGGTGCTCTATAAGTAAAAAAAAAAGTTTCATTTTTCTGTCCCTTCTTTCTCTTCGCTCATGTCAGAGATGACAGCGACTCCCAGATTCTCTGGCCCCTGCCCTGAGTTGGTGCTGGTCGGGGTCTCGGGTCCAGATTCATTCCAGAGACTGTCAGGGCAGCCTTCCGTGACAAGGCAGTGCCTGGGAATATACCGGCCCTGCCCGCTCCTCCCCCCAGCCCTGCTTCTCCGGACAGGTCACGCAGATTCACAGACAGGCACCCAGTGGCTATTTAAGAAAAAGAAGAAGGAGGCGGCACCGGGTGGTTGTGCTGGGGAGCTGTGGACATTCTAATGAAGAAAGACAGATCACTTCCCCTTCCTGTTCAGGGCAGGTCGCGGTGCCGGAGCCAGGGCAGTCCCCTCTGCAGAGCCTGAAGCTAACATGGATCAGGAAGCTGTGGGCAATGTCGTCCTGCTGGCCATCGTCACCCTCATCAGCGTGGTCCAGAATGGTAAGGGAAGCCCCTAGCTCCGAAGCAACAGAGGGTAGATCTTGTTTGATGACTGTTTGGAGGTCATGCTTAGGGGTGTGTGCGCGTGTGTCTGTGTGCATACACACACGCACACTTTTGCCTCGTCTCTATTTGTTTCTTTTTATTTGAATGTATAGAGGTGTGTGTGTTTCTATGTGAATTTGGGCTTTTCTTTCTTCCTCCTGGTCTTTCTTTCCCGTTAGTGGGGATGGCTAGTCCCATCTGCAGAGCCAGGGCAGCAATTTGAAGGCTTTTGCAAAAGCTCTCAAATGAAGTGTCTGCGATCAGCATTTTTAAGTTATTATTTTATTATTTATTGTTTTTATTTTTATTTATTTATTTATTTTTTTGAGACAGAGTCTCACTCTCTTGCCTGGGCTAGAGTGCTGTAGCATCAGCCTAGCTCACAGCAACCTCAAACTCCTGGGCTCAAGTGATCCCCCTGCCTGAGCCTCCCAAGTAGCTGGGACCACAGACATGCGCCACCATGCCTGGTTAATTTTTTCTATTTTTAGTTGTTTGGCTAATTTCTTTCTATTTTCAGTAGAGACGGGGTCTCGCTCTTGCTCAGGCTGGTCTCGAACTCCTGAGCTCAAACAATCCACCCGCCTCGGCCTCCCAGAGAGCTAGGATTATAGGCGTGAGCCGCCGCGCCTAGCCTATTTTTATTTTTAGAGGCAGGCTCTTACTCTGTCACCCAGGGTGGAGTGCCGTGGGGCGGTCACATACCACTGCAGCCTTGAACTCCTGGCTAGCAATCTTCCTGCCTTAGCCCCCTGAGTAGCTGGTACTATAGGTGCATGCCACCACACTAGCTAATTTTTTTATTTTTTGTAGAGGTGGGTTCTTGCTATATTGCCAAGGCTGAATCTCAGACCCCTGGCCTCAAGCGATCTCTCCTGCCTCAGCCTCCCAAAGTGCTGGCATTGCTAGTGGGAGCCACTGCACCTGGCCACCATCAGCATTTTGACTATTAATTAATGTGGCCAGGGAAGGAGTGGGAGGTAATGAGCCTAGAAAGGGAACAGGAGATACACATTCACTCGGACACTGGGCTTTACAACTTATCTGTAGTGCGAGAGAGGTCACCAGTTGGTTGCTTATAGGCTAAAAAAAAAAAAGTGAATTTGGGAGGTTTGGAGGGGAAATCACCTTATTTTTCCTCTGTATTGCTTTTTTCTTTCTTTTGGAGAAACATGTGTTTTGTAGTACCTTCTTTTTCTCTAGCAATGTATAATTTTTGGAGCATTTTTCCTATGCATTATACACTTAGAGAGAGCAGAAAATTTTCTTTTTAGGGGTTTGTGTCTCCATTACCCCTGCTCTCAGTTTAAACACCAAGCGGGTTATCCAGATCTGCAAAAGGCAGAACTGTGCAGAACTGTCTCCTTCAAGTTCTGAGTTAGGACTGGCTCACACTGTTTTTGTAAGTATCTCCAGTGGCTTTGCATTTTATAGTTTATTGAGATAGGAAAAAAGGAGAATTATCGAGGGCAGCTGCTATAGCTTAGCAGTAATTACTGAACATTGACACTGTCACGCTTTGGCATTTTGAGTATTTAATCACTTTGGGATGTTCTGATATTTTCCCTCATCTTGAGTGTGGACAGATGCTGGTGATTTAGCCTTCTGGGCACAGAGCTAGGCTTCCCCTGGGCCTTCCGCACCAGAGAGGCCACCTTTGCGCACTCCAAGTGTGTCCCCTACTGGGAACAACATTTGCAGGCTTCTGACCCAAACATTTTTATACCAGATCACACACAGTAGAGTTGCAGCTCAGAGAGGGAACAAATGGCTTCTTTAGGCCGTCATTTCTTCAAACCATTGTTATTTTATACAGAGCTCCCTTGGCTCTGTAAATTGGCAAGGGATTCCTTCTTTCAACTGCATACACCGACAGAGAGCCTGCTCCGCGCCGGGCAGTGACCTGGGCACATGGCGATATAAAGGTGTACACGACAGCTACGGTCCCTGCCTTTAGGGAAAGGAAAGGTGACCTGAAGTGACCCCTCCAGTCTCTGCGGAGACAGGAGCATGGGTGGGTAGGTGGGGCGTCGCCCCCAGCTCTTCCCCCAATACCGCTCAGTAGAACTGAATGACATCAGTGGACAGGGGACCTTGTGCCCTCTCCCCTGTCCATGCAGTGGGGGATGAGCTCAGCTGGGGGCTCCAGTGCACTCTCTCCGGCTCCCTCTCAGTTCAGAGCCAGGCTGGGCGGCTCCAGGGCTCTCTGTTGTGAGGAGAGAGTCCCTTCACCTCTCCTGAGATGCACCAAGGGCCTGGCCTTGGTCTGTCCAGCAAACGTGGGCTTTTCCACAGTGGTCTAGCACACCTTGACCAGACTAGAAGCGGATGGCAAGATTTCTAATTATATTTGGCGGACAGGATTAAGTCGTCTTCTGTGGCACAAGTGGGGAGAGGAGGTGAGACTAAAGATGTCAGAGTCTTGACAACCACAATATGAAGATCTAGACCTTTCATAGACCACTAACGAAGGGACTCTGTGGCCTCACCAGCACAGCTCCAGGAGTGGCGAGTGTGATGGAGGCTTCCTGGTCCAGGAGAGACAAGTATGGACCCAGAGGGAGCTACTTTTTTAGGCAGGAGACTTTGTTACTTTGGGCAGACAGATGACTGGGGTGTGTGCCAGAGCCGACAGCATGGCCCGCACGTCACTGCCTCTGTCCCTCTCCAGCCCCTGTGAGCCCGCTGGGGCAATGCGTGGTCAGAGTGCCTTTGCACAGGGCTGTCCCACCCATGCTTGTGCTTGGGGAAGGGAGTTTCTGCTGCTCCCTTGAAGCCACAGAAAAGCACCTTGCATATCTCTTGGTGGCTTAGGATAGGCCGTGTTGCCCTCTTAGGGAGAGACCTGAACTCCCCAGGTGACGTCCAGATCACCTATGAAGCCTCTTTGTAACTGTTAAATGTGCCTGTCGGGGCAGGGGGAGCAAACATCGAAAAGAGTTGGGAGATAATACCCTACTTGTTTTTAACTGTGCGTTTTTATGCAATCACAAAGATCCAAATGTGTGTCCAAGCCTCTCTTTGCAATTCTAATTAACCTCAGTGTTGGAACCATAGACCTACCTTACAGAGTTCACAAAAGTATGCAAAAACGGTGCCTTTCTTCCCACTCACACCTCAAAATGCTATTCTGAACCCTTCCTGTTAGTTTCGAACAACATTTCCATGTTGTTACCAGGCACTGCACACAGTGTCCCAAGACAATGAGGTACAGTTTCACGCGTCCGCGATGAGGGGTCGCGCTCTCGGGACACTCTGCGGGCCTGATGTTCTGGGGCAGAGCGGCCTGCCTGGTACAACTTCCTTCTCTGCCTTTCAAACACTCATCAGTCATCAAGATCTTTGAACTTGTGGCCTTCCTCCCGCTTGAGCCAGCAGAATGCTAATTTGGAAAAACAGAGCACAAGTTTAAAACACATTGTTTTAAGAAACCTGGACCAGAGCTTTCAAAGCCTGGTTCACCAGGGGGTATAGACAAATGCATTTCCTGTGAGTAGCAGGCAGAGAGCCTCCAACCTCTCCTGCTGAGGTGGATGCAGCTTCGACGTGAAGCAAGCACATACTGTATTTGGAGAAAGTGATTTTCACAGGAAACCACACGAAGGAGAGTGGGAGGAGACAGGAGCTGAGGGGAGGGGCTCAGGTCCCTGAGCCAGCAGAGCCACGGCAGAGGAGGAAGGTGGCAGGTGTTAGCGTCAGCCTGTCTCCCTGAGGAGAGGCAAGCTTCTCCAAGTTTCTTCTTACTGGGATGCAAGAAGGGAGACGCAATGGCCCTGCAGTCGCCAGGGTTTGTGAGCCTTGTGCTAAGGAGGGAAATGGAGCTGCCATCCCTGCTGTTCTCACCCCAACACACACACTCGCAAGGAACCTCACGGGCGCCAGACTGGAAGACCTCGCAAGGCAACCTGGGCTTTGATGGGCTCTGGAAACAGAGTCATAGACTCCTGAAGCTCCCCCAAGGCAGGAGTCTTCTTTACAGCACCCCCCGCAGCTCTCACCCCACACTCCAGTGACGGGAGCTCATAGCCCGCCGGGCTCGCTTTGTCCATTGGGGAAGAGCTCCCTTCACATGAGCACAGTGCTTCCTGCTGTGCATAGTATTATCTCATTTAATTCTTGCACCCTAAGAAATATATGTTATTATTTATTCCCATTTCACAGATAAACAAAGTGAGGAATGGGGAGGTTAGAACATTGGGTGAAAGTCCCAGAATCACAAGTGATGTAATTGGGTTTCAAACCTAAACTTCTGACTCCAGAGAGCAGACACTTGCATCATGTATATTGCCTTGAATTCATTCATTCAAGCACGACTAAAGAGTTCTTATGTTGAGCTAAAACCTGCTGCCTTAGACCTTCTATCGGGTGGTCCTAGTCCTGTTCTCTGGAAAGGCTTAGACTGTGCCTGCTACTTCTGTGCTTACAGTGTCAGCTGTAATGTCCCTTCTTCAACGTACCATTTCTCTTATGACTTGGTTTCCAGAGTCCCTTGCCATTGGATTACCTCTTCTCTTCCCCTGTTCCTTGTAAAATGCAGATGGGTGTTTTCTGTGCAGGGAAAGTGTTCCTAAGATCCAGACACCAATTCTATTAAAATAATCTATATACTCTTTTGAGGACTTGTGTCATACTGCTGGTCATATTGGCTTTGCAGTTAACTAAAATCTCAAGATCTTTTTATGTGACTTTGAGAAACTTATTTAACTTCTCTGACCCTCAGTCTCCTCAACTGAGAAGTGGAGTTATTAAGGACATCCATATGTGGTTGCTCACGGTCTTGCGTGAGATGACACGGGTCGAGTAGCCAGCAGTGCCCAGCATGTGGCCGGTTCCCAGTGACTGCAGCTGTCTCTCTCTCTCTCTCTCTCTCTCTTTGTTTTAAGGGTAGGAAAGATCTGTGGGTGTTTCTAGGGTAAAGAAAAAAAGAAAGAGACTGACGTTTCCAGAAGTGGGAGAAGCGGCGATGAAACAAAGACCTGCAGAGAGTGGCAGGACAGGATCCGGATCTAGGGAAGGGCTCGGCCCCGGGAAGGGGAAGAACAGAGGCAGGTGCAGAGAAGCACGGCCACGTCGTGCTGCCGGTGGCAGAAATAACCTCTGACTTTCTTAGTACACTCATCCCTCCCTGTCCATGCGGAAGCCCTGAGGATACCAAGTCCTGCAGGTGCTCAAGTCCCGATATAAAATGGCATAGAGTTTGCATGTAACCTACACACGTCCTCCCATATGCTTTAAATCGTCTCTAGATTACTTATAAAACCTGGTGCAATATAAATGCTATGTAAATAGTTGTTATATCATTTAGGGAATAAGGGCAAGAGCAAAGTCTGTGCGTGTTCAGTACAGACGGAAATGTTTTTTGAATATTTTCGATCCTCAACTGGTCGACTCCACCCGTGCAGAACGGCAGACACGGGGGCCGCCTGTGCCAGCCCAGTTCAGTGTTCAGAGGTGGAGGATTCCGTCTTGGGCTCTAGAAAGAAAATGATCAAAATTTTCTGTCGCGCTCTGTGGTAAGAAGAGACATTCAGAACGGACAGATGTCCTAAACCCTGCGTGGCTAATGGAATTCTTCAGGCAGCTTCAAGGTGACAGCAAGAGGAAAACGTCCTCATATGCCCGGCTGAATTTTAATTCCCAGCTTCCCTGCTCCCCAGAGGCGAGGTGACTCTGAGAAAGCTACTTCCCCTCCCCGAGCTGCAGGGTCCTCTTCTGCAGAGTGGGGACAGCACCATGCCCTGTGCAGAGTGGGTGCAAAGCCAGAAGGGGGTGTGAGCCCAGTGCCCGCCCTAGCGCCCGGAATGTGGCCAGTCCCTCCTCTGCACAAGCTAGCCCTGGAGATACGCTCACAATGCGCACGTTCCCACAGAAGGAGCGTATTTTTGCCAACAAGAAACACATGGGAGGATTTTATTCGTATGCACAATTGATAAGGCTCCCTTTTCATGTCTTTTTGAGGAGGCTAATAGGAAGTTGATGAAAAGGAACCCTGTGGTTGGATCCCTGGCAATCACATGTATCCCCGCCCCCCTTTTTTTTTTTGAGATAGAGTCTCACTGTGTTGCCCGGGCTAGAGTGCCATGGCGTCAGCCTAGCTCACAGCAACCTCAAACTCCTTGGCTCAAGCGATCCTCCTGCCTCAGCCTCCTAAGTAGCTGGGACTACAGGCATGCGCCACCATGCTCAGCTAATTTTTTCTATGTATTTTTAGTTGTCTGATTAATTTCTTTCTATTTTTAGTAGAGACGGGGGTCTCGCTCTTGCTCAGGCTGGTCTCGAACTCCTGATCTCAAACAATCCGCCCGCCTTGGCCTCCCAGAGAGCTAGGATTACAGGCGGTATCCCCTTTTCATTCTTGAAAAAGGAATAAAGGAATAAAATAGGAGAAGTGGGGAGAAGCCTTCACTTCCCCACCATCCGAGCTCTAATTGCACCTGCCACACTCTGTCTCCTCCGAGGCTCATATAATACATCCCGGGGCAGCTACTATCTTGTTCCCCGATCCTGGTTCTGACCTGCTAAGCACCCGCCATGCTAGAGACGGAGTGGCTTTCTGATTATGCCATTCCTCTGCTTAAACCTGTCAATAACTGCTTTTGCTCTCAGATGGAACTAAGTTCTGAAGTTCTTCACACGGCTCTCGGGATCACAAGCTGCTACACCCAAGGGGCACTTCTCAACGATCACCTTCTTCAAGCCTTGGCTCAGTCATTGCTTTCTTATGGAGGCTGACTTTGCCACCCTCTCGAGCACTTCAAATGGCCCCTTACATAGTTCAACACACTGTGTAATTTCAATTTACGTACTTGGTTTACCGAGTGTGGTCTGTCTTCTCTGCTGTCCTCGCCAGAACATCTGCTCTGGGGGCCAAGGCTCCTCATCTGTTTTGTTCCTGGAGGTGAGCTAAGTGTCTGGCAGATAGCAAGTGACAACAGACACATGTCATTAGAATAACCAATCACCACCTACCTCTTTGGCCTCATGTGGGCTTCTGCGGGGTCCCACCCCAGCCCCGCGCTGGACCTGCACACAGCCCCTGCCACTGGAGCAGCGCGATCTCCTGTTGTCCCTGCCCCCTCCATCTGCTTGGCTAATTCCTACTGTTCTTCAGGTTTTATCTGGGGTGTCATTGCCTGTGGGAATCCTTCTGTGACCCAAACACTGAATTAAGCTGCTCCTTTGACCTTGACAGCACTGTGTACTCACTCAATCGCGCCCTGGCCCGAGTCTCTCTGTAGTGCAATTTCTGCTCTACCCGTTTGTCTGTTTCTTTAGCCTGTGGGATCCTTGGTGGGGGGCCGTACCTTGCTCACGGCTGCATTCCCAACACCAACACAGCGATCGGTAGACAGCAGCTGCTGGGAGCAGTTTTGCTAAAGGACGGTTGATGGGGGACGTGCAGGGCTGTTCCGAGGTGGAGTCAGGCAGACATTTAACATTCTGGTAAAACAGTGGAATAACAGGCTCCCGAACTTGCAGGTTATGACCCAGACCCAAACCTTTCCCTCCGGCAGGGTTCTTTGCCCACAAGGTGGAGCATGAGAGCAAGACGCAGAATCAGCGGAGCTTCCAGAGGACCGGAACATTTGCCTTTGAGCGGGTCTACACTGCCAAGTGAGTCCAAACTCTGGTGCTGCTGACTAACAGAGTGGGGGCGTGGGCATGGGGCCTCTTTACAGGAGCGAAGCCACCCTTGGGGCCACGGGTCTGTTTGGTCCTGGGGGGCTCCGTGGACATCTTTCACCATTGTAGGAGGAGCTAGTGTTAAAAGAAAAGAAGTGGATATATCGGGGGTGGGGAAGGGGTGATCTCCACAGCTCCAGAAACATCTGAGTGCGTCATTTGGTCAGAGGAGTTGACCCATTTCCTGTGGGGTTAGACCACAGGTGCTACCATGAACACCAGCTGTGACACATCCGCCGGCTTCAGAAGCAACAGGCAGGACACCCCGGTGACAGACTTCAACTCGCCGGTCCCTCGCCTTCCCCAGAGGGAAGTCTGGAGGTGACGCCAGCGCATTTCCTAACGCTGGGTCTCCTTGAGCAACCAGAACAAGAGCAGAAAGAGTGGGGACATTGCGCAATTATGTCCCCTGCTCTCATTCTTTACTTGGAATAAAAAGCTGTCTGAAAACACCTGAGCAGCTCAGTGAAGACGGTGCAATCTGTTTGGGATGCAAATCCCAATGGATGGTACTCAAATGCTCATTTCTCCTTTTGCAGAATGTATTTCAACGTAGGGGTCCATCCGAGAATCGAGAAGCGTGGGGGTGTTGGCTGGCTGCTCTGCACCTGGGCTGGAGGCCGCTCACCCAAGGAGGTTTCGTGCTGTGGAGCCCGCAGAGGAGCTGGCCTTCAGTTCCAGCCCAGAGGGGACTTTGATGTCCCCAACGACACAAGCAAACTCAGGGACCAGGATTCATACTGAAGGGCCGAGAGGCCCTGGCCCTGGGAGGGCCCTGTGGGAGCAGCTGGGAGGGGGGTCTTGTTCAGGGCCACCGTTGGCCTCCCGTGAATGAAACTGACATCGAGGGATCTGGACTGGACAGGCCTGCGTCGCCGACATGCTCTCTCGTCAGTCCTCTACCTCGCCTAGGTATTTTTTACTTTCTCAGTTAGGTGTAGGCGTGGGGAACGGGAGGCGTGTCTTCTCCATTGCTGTTTTTCTCCCTGCCCCTTTGCTCCCTCGGCTTCTGAGCTGCGTGTACACTGTCTGGACTACTCGTGACACATTGGCAGGGTCGGCACAGGCTGGCTGCTCGCCCCACAAGCTCTCCGGACCCTTTGCCTTTCCTGGCCGTTCCCGGGAGCTCACAGTGCCACTGCAGTGGGTACCCCAGACCTCCCGCTCCCGCCTGCTCTGGGCCTCACCCCCTCCTGCCAAGCACCCCTGTCCAGGGTTACGTCTGATCTCAAGGAAATCCTTTGCTGAACTACTTAGAGGAAGGAAGATTTCTATTTTAACATCTGGACTTTGGTGTATTAATTCTCAGAATCAATTTAAGAAGTTTAAAGATGTGATTTAAGACATTTTAGACCCACTTGAAAGAGGGTAGAGAAAATATGTCAATTGCCGTCAACATTTGCAGGGGGAGACGCAAGAGCCCCCCTTGGACACATCCAGGTGCATGAAATGCAAGAAAGTATCTTCCATCAGAGGCAAGGTCAAAACCTTTCCCTAAACAGAAGCCAAAGAAAATGTTACTCCCGGGCTACCAGTTCGGAAAGAGAAACTTCCTCCGCCCACAAGACCACATTCTCACCGGTTACATTGTGTTCCTGTGGACTCCTCTGCTCACCCTTTTTGGAGAAGCTACAGTGGAATTTCACCATACCTGGTTAGAAGTTTCCATTTTGCCAGCAATAAAGAAGAAATGGAACTGGCCAGGCCATCTAGTTTCTGCCACTTCCCCCCAGGAATGAAATAGCTCCATTTCTGAGAAGCCATTGCGTTCACCCGTGGCCTCCTTGGTGGCTAGCCTCCAAATTGCAGAAGCCCCCTTTGCCTGGTGGTTGCACTGTGTCATTTGGGTGGGAGTTGGAAGTTCTGCAATCGCATGGGGTCCCAGAGGGAAGAAGGCATCAGAGGAGAGCGGGGGGCGATTGTTGCTGCCTGGGTGTCCCCTCAGTGTAGATGCCACAGCCCAGCTCTCAAAACCACCGTTCTTTACACTTAACCTCCACGAGAGGGGAAGAAGTGGAAAGCGGGTGGGGGAGAGTGGTGGAGAGGTAGGAATGGGGAGGGCAGGGATAAGGGTTTTCTGTAACATAAAGTTACTCAGACACTGCTGTGGTTTTGTTACAAAGACCGCTTCCTCCCGGGCCCAACAACATGTGTGTGCCTGTCTGGGTTGTCAGAAGTGGCCAAAGATCAATGCAGCAGGCGATTGCGTGCTGGCAGAAGCCGGAGCATCCCGTCTGCCCGCCTCTGCCAGGAAACTGCTGGGAAGGGCTGTGTGTCATTCCAGCAGAAAGTCGTCCCCCGTGGTAGCTTCTCCAGGGGCCTCCAAAAGCACCTAAAAGGGTTGCAAGATGATCCACAGAGGTGCAGGAAGAATAGAGTGGGTATTTAACCTTGCTATCTAAAAAGCAAGGAATGAAGCTTTACTCATTTTTAATTTACGGATTGACAGTAGTACATGTTTAGAATTTATTTATAAATATACCTGTCATAGGGATGCATGATCAAAACTTTTGGTGGATGGGATGTGGGGGCACAGATGTTTAGTGGCCACTGCTATAAAGGAAAAATAGCATAAAGGACAAATGATACCGGTGGACTGAAAAGCCTGATGCATATTTTCAGTGTAATTGTCAGTGCTGACTGCTAGAGATAGCTCAAGATTCTGGGGCGGTTGATGAACAGACCTCCCCACCGGTGACCGTCGGCTCAGACTCGACCTCGACTAATGATCTGTCCCCCACCCATCTCGCATGAGGGCAGAGCTGAGTCAGGGTTTGAGAGCTGAAAGGAATTGCACCTTGACTCTCTGTTCACGTGTACAATACGTAGTTCAAGGCCCCGTTCCCAGCTGATGAGCACGGCTAGAGCAGCCTTGGTCTGAGTTTGGTTTTTGGAGAAAAATCCTCATCTCCTCCCTGGGAGTGCAGGTAAGCACAGGTTGCAGGAGAGGAGATGAGTCTCTGGAGATGTGTAGTTTCTTAAAATGTGTTCCATGGGTTACAAGTTCATGGGGTATTAACAGGCGTTACAAGAAAGAGTAAGTTCTTTTTAGCCAGACTTTTGAGAACGTTTGATGTATTGAGGTGCACTCTGCGTCTTGGTTCTCCAAGAGGGGGATATCTTACCTAACTACAAACCCACCCCCCTTTTTTTCTGCAGAGTATACCAAGTGTTTAGTATTTCACAAAACACATTTTGGGAAATGCCACCCTAATGTTGCTTCTCCCCTGCCTCTCTTGGCGTCCACTCTAGACTCAACTGCCAGCAGCGCAGACTTGTAAATTTATTTGAAGGCAATAGGTTTACAATGATCCTATTGATTAGTATTGATACTAGTGGTAACTGTTATTAATGATACTTATTTTAAATTAATCCAAACTAATTAACAGAGCACTAAAGTGTTCTCATGTTTTATTACCAGAGGTGGAGAAAAATGACAGGGAAACCAGCAAGGAGTCGTTTTCTCCACAGAAACGCGGACAGTGCGGTGCGTCCAACTGAAGGCAGCACAGTGAATTGCTGCAGGATCTGCCGAGCAGCTCCTATTTAGACCTCAAGAAATGAGTGTCAAAATGGGTTTGTCAGTTCTGTTTTTCAGAAAAAATGGCCCAAACCTCCTCAAAGGAAAATCCAGGATAATAATAATTTGTCAGTGGAAAAGACATTTTTTCACTGGGGGTTAAGAAGGAAGACATGGGAACAATGATAGCCGTTGTTTATTGAATGCTTAATATGAGCCGGGCAGAGCTTTATTTCGTTTTATTCTCACAACAGTCTAGGGAGGTAATTACTAATGTCTCCGCTCACCTCTTACAGATGAGCAGATTGAGGCTCCGTGAGGCTAGGAAATGCACCCACGCTCACACAGCCACTGAGTGGCAGTCCGAGCACTGGACCCAGGCCGTGCGAACTTTAAAGACCACACAAGTGGCCTTTAGGCTCCACGGCAGGAGGCAGCTGCCACTGGCCAAAGCCACTTGGATTCAGCCCAGTGGGAGCACTCCCTTAAGGAGGGACACACGTGCCGGCAGCGTTGGGTGGAAGCTGTGCTGGAAGAGGGAGGGACATCCTGGAAATCCAGAGGGAGAGCCCATTCTCTTACAGGTGGGAGAGTATCATTCAACTCCAGACAGACCGTGTTTTATTAAGAACCAAGGCTTGAAATAATAGGTGAGAATGATTGAATGACCAATTCAATGTCAAATCACTGGACAGTTGTCTCTAACGAGCAAGTCCCTTGAACAATTAAGGACTTTCTTTCCTTTTGCAATACTCAAATAAAATCACTCCTTAAAAACAAATAATCAAACACCCCAGAAATATGAGAATCTGGGTGGAGCAGGGGAAGTCTTCGGTATTAATAATGACGGCATCAGATATTCTATCCTATCCGGCAGAGAATGTTATTTGATTACCTAAAAAAGGAATTTTTTCTCTAGTTTTCTTGAACTGGAGGATGAATCCCTTTCTCCGTCCCGAGGCTGCAGTTTCGGGCCTCAGGACTGTGCAAGACTAGATGTGACGCAGGTGCTCAGCGGCTGCTGCCGTTGTGACTTTGGGCCTGGCTGATTCACTGAGTGTTTCACCCCAAATGGGAATTTGTAAGGGCCTCCTGCCATTTGGAGGTCCAGTAGAGCATTGAAAATCTGGGGGACCCGGAGCAGTTAGCAAGGTCAGCAGGGGGTCTTCTCTTTCTGTCCCGTGCCTGGTTCTTGTTGTGCCTGTACCCCAGGGTAGGACACACAGGTTTCTCACCTATTGCATTCATAGACTTCTCTCCTAAAGGTGTTTTGCCCATCAGAAGGGCACGAAGGCCCTCTCTGGGTCTTCTTCAGGGAAAAGAGCAAGGGCTGTCCGTCCCAGAGCTCACAGTGGTACCACTGAGGCATGAGACCCTAGCAGTTTGAACCAGCAGTTTGAAAATGGCTTTTACCTATATAGTTTCAATCACATTAAACTGCGGTTCTCAAACGTCAGTGTGCATCCGAGTCACCTGGAAGACTTGGTAAGACACAGATTTCTGGGCCCCGTCCCCAGAGTTTTTAATTTCATAAGTGTGAGGTGGGCATGAGCATTTGCCGGTCCAGGGGACACACCCTGAGCACTGCTGCGTTAACCATGCTCTTAGAGCCCAAATGGGGCTCAGAGTTATTATCGGTCTCTTAGCTTTACAGATAAGGAAACTGAGTCCGGAGAGATGGCTTTGCGAGTGGTAAACAAACAGCCAGTTAAAGTCAGGACAGGACAAAATCCTAGCCAGGTGCGCTTTCCACTGGGCTGCATTGCCCTTTGCCTTTCATGCCTCCCAAGTCCTGTTATGTTGTTGTTCCCTGGATGGGAACATTTATTGTGCTGCCCTGGACTTACACTCCTCAAGAGGACACCCCGATTCAAGTTAGTATAGTCGAAGAGTTAACAGATCTGGCTTTGGAGACAGGCTGACCAGGGGCTGAATCCTGGCTTCGCCACTCCCTGGCTGGGTGACCCTGGGCAAGTGATTCAGCTTCTCTGAGCCTCTGTTTCTCATGAAGCGTGAGAGTATTTGTAGTGGGCAGCATAATGTGCCCCCAAGCCCGAACACGCCCACATCCTAATCCTGGACCTGAAAGTAAACAGGTTCTCCTGGGTTACCTGGGCGGGACCCAGTGGAATCACAAGGGTCCTTTAAATGTGGATGAGGGAGGCAGGAGGGTACCTGTCAGAGCGATTCGAAATAAGAAAGACATGGCTGGCCCGAAGGCAGTGAGTTATCCCAATTGATTGTTCACGGCAGTCACAGGTTGGAGTCCCTGTTCTACCCTCCTCTCTTCTCACTACTGCACTCGACTAGTCTAAAAAAAGAAAAAAGGACTTGATCGGCTTTCGCTGATTTTGAGGTCGGAAGGAGGTCCCGCGCCAGGGAATGCAGTGACCTCTAGAAGCTGGAGAAGACAAGGAAACGGATTCTCCCCTTGAGCCCGCAGGAGCGCGGTGCTGATCCTACATTGACTCGAGCACATTCAGACCCGTCTTGGACTTCTGACCTCCCAGAACTGTGAGATGATAAATTTGTGTTGTTTTCAGCCACAAAGTTTGTGGCCACTTGTTATAGTAGCAAGAGGAAACTCCTACAATCATCAAGTGTATTCACAGAAATACGGCGAGTTTACAGGCAACGATGGGTGTAAAACGTCAGTGCGGTGCCTGGCGAGGGGCGAGGACTCCCCTGGGAGCGAGGACCGTGCTCTGCATGCAGCTGTCGCGCAGTCGGCAAGCTGACTTTCTAAGAGTCAGCTTTTCTGAATTCACCTTGCTTTCTTTAATGCTCGAAGATGACCTTTCTCCCCTCAGCCTGGCCTGCAGACCTGGGCCGATTTGTGTGTCTGATATAAAGGTTTCCTTAGCTGGGCTCTTGTGGCCACACCCTCTGTCTGCGTTGCACTCTTCAATTTCAAGAAGCGCCTCAGCACAGCCAGGAGCAGGAACCCTGCCAAAGCGAATGCATCAAGAAACCAAGTCTCCGGCATGTTTCACCGTAGGAACAGAGCTAATGGACTATGCACACGTGTTTGCTTTGTGCTGTTGTCTGTTTCTGAGGTGGTGCTGACTGCCGCGTCTTAGAGGGCGGACGTAAGTGGAACTATGAATGGGATTCCAGCCTCGTGCGCGATGATGACCGTTAGCTAGGGTTCAGGTGATTTTCAGACCACGTTGCAATGACATGTTCTCTGATTGCTTTCCTCTTGTGTATTTATTCCACAGCCAGAACTGTGTAGACGCGTACCCCACTTTCCTCGCCGTGCTCTGGACTGCGGGGCTGCTTTGCAGCCAAGGTAACTCGGACTTCCCTTTATACATTCTCCTACAATGCGCATCTCAGGGAGGTTCAAAGGGCAGGCTTTTTGTTGAAAAGACTTTGCCTGACCTCCAGCTGGCATCTGTGAAGCCCTGGAGAGGTGAGAGCCCCCGGGAGGGTGCTTCAGGCATGCTCTGTGCCCGCGCAGAGCGGGTGTGATAATGCATTGCTAATGCTTGCTCCCTGGTGGCTGGTTGAGAGCCGCGGTGCTGACAAGGGTGGTTTAAGGCTAAATGTGACTCAGAATCCTTAAGCAGTGTTAGCTCAGATACAAGGGCATTATAAATGAGAGCGCCTGAGGGATATTCTGGGACCTGCTGTCACTCGGCTCTTTTGCTAATAAGCTTCCAGCGTGGTGGCCCTCCTTCGGCATGCGTCCACAGGGCCACAGGCTGGATTGCAGGTCCCCAGCCTCCCCTGGGTTATCAGCAGCCCACCGTCTTGACTCCAGCAAGTAGGAAGAACAGATAAACTCCCAGAGGTGATTTAAAATTAAATGGAAACCAGAGTCGTACTTTTTGGTCCCATTTTGGGATTTAGCACCCGACAGGCTTGGCCAGGCCTGGCATGAACTGGCCAGTTTCTGTGGCTCAGCAGGGCAAGTGTGGAAAGGTCACAAGCAATCTATGATGAACTATTTCATCCTTATCCTTTTCTCCCCGCTCTACAAAGTAGATAGAGTGGATCTTATTTCCCCCTGCACGGGGCTCGTTCAAGGTTACTCAGCTGGTGAGTAACAGAGGCAAGACGGGAGCCCTGGTCTTTCCACTCTAAATTCTGAATGTTTTGCAAGTATCTTTTTACTTGATTCATTCATATAATAAATGTACACTGAGCAACTACTATATGCCAAGCCCAGTGCCTGGATATACAGGGATAAATAAAACAGAGAGGGTGGTGAAGCACATACCAAGAGGACCACAGGAAGGTCAGTGAATGGAGACATCATGGTCAGGAGGAGAAGCACCATGAAGGAGAAGAATGAGGCGCAGGTGACGGAGAGCTGAGGGGAGGCGGGGCAGCGGACACCACTAGCAGGAATCCATGTGGCCTCCTTCTGTGCTTAGAGGGCTGTCAGGAAGCTCACCACTTATGTTCCATTTTCTATCTCGAGTTAAATAAGAAACATGTCTGGCATTACTTGAAAATTCAAGTCAAAGTATGCTTACACAAGGAGTTATGATTCCTTTTATGTTTTAGACGATATTTGATCTAGATGAATACAGAGTTGCTCTAGCCAGATAAATACAAAAGGAGTTTGAAGGTGTTTCTGAGCCCTGAAAATGCACATTCTTGTCAAAATAAGCTTTGGCATTGCCAGGGAACAAAAACATCAGTAAACCCTGGTTGATTATTGCAATTTCTTATGAATATAGTCGATTCCGGAATTTTTTTTATCTGAAAGGAACCCCGGAGATCATTCCAGCCCAAACCCTTCACTTTACAGAGCAGGATCCCAAGCCCCGGAGGGATGAGTGGCCTGCTCGAAAGTCAGAATTCCAGAGCCTGGATTTGTACCCTTCTGTGTTCCCAGCAGCCAGGTCCCCACAGGAGCCACTCCCTGCAGAGGGGCAGTGAGTGTGGCCACTTTCCACCCATGATCGCTATTAGCTCATGTTGGATTTAATTCCCATATAAAGAGAAATGGGCCAGTACCTTGGAGCAGAATCATTCATGTGAGACAATGTAGGAAAAACTTTGTCCAAAGCAAATTGAGAATTGTGACAATTTTGTGATTTCAGAGAATAGGATGAACGTCACAAGCAGTTTCTATTGTGCTTCAATTTTCTTGTCTGCCATATGACGAGGGTATTTTGGAAGGCAGGTGGAGTTGTGCAAAGAAGTGGGCTTTGGGGAGTGACAGCTCAGAGGCAAATCCAAGGATGCTCATTGCTGGTGTGTGACCCCCAGCTGTGCTCAGCTTTCCTAAGCCTCGGTTTCCTCATTGTCAAACAGGACCACGTCTACCTAGCGGGGTCCCTATGATGCTTAAGGGAGGTAATGTGTATTTAGCCCCTGACACAGGGCTTGGCATATGTCAGATTGAGCCAGATGAAATGGCCAATATCCAACAGTTTATGACCCACAAAAATGGCACTTCCGTGTGGTTCAACCTAACAATGGAAGCTCAGTAAATGTCATTATTGATGGTGGTGGTAATAAAGTTTTGAAGTCAGAAAGACCTGGTTTCAAATCCACCTCTCCACTGGCCTGATTTTTTCATTCACTTGACAACTGTTTTTTTGGAAGTACCTATGTGCTAGACACTATGTCAGGCATGGAGATGATCTAGGAAAAGACAGCTGTCCTCATAGATCTTTTGGCCTGAGCCTACAGTTCCTGATCTGTCCAGTGGTGACAGTCACATGCTCCTTACCAGGTAGCTGGGAGGATTGCAGACCTAAGGTCCCAAAATGCCAGGGCGGTGCCCAGCAGGTGTAAAATATTCTGTCAATGGCAGTTAACTTGGTATGTGAAAAATGCTTGGAGGTTTTCAAACTGCTTTTTATATCTATAGTCCTATTTCACCCCACACTAATTTCTAATGGTAGAAAAACTGTAATCAGCCCTTTGTCCAGATGCAGAATAAATTAAGTACCTATCCAGATGCACTAGTCCCAGGGGAGCTGGGTTTTCTAACTCTCAGCTCAAGCATCCTGGACTCCACGGGGTTATTGGTGCCTTGCCCCTGGCGGTTTCCCGAAGACCTAGAATGCAAAGGGACTTTCCTTCCTTAGAGACCTTTGCTAAACAGCAGCACTTGGGCCCGGGAAAGGTTGAGCACTGTGCTGCAGGCAGGCTCAGGGGTGAAGGGTGTGCCTCGAGAGAACCATCCACAGAGTTGGGGTTACCAGCTCTCACCAGCTGCCACCCTGGCAGAAGCCTCTCTTTGATCACCGAGCCCACGTTTCCACATCGAGAAGTAGAAATACTGGTGCTGGCTATGTTGAAAGCATTCCCGTTAGATGATGGATAAGCAAATACTTTGTAAACTCTGCCACGATGCTGCTATAAGGTAATATTACTATTATTAAAGTTCTCAGGTTTCTTCCAGCCCTAGGGCTTTTCTCTGAAGTGCAGGTCAGCCTCAACCATCAGAACTTGTGTCCTCTGCTAGATTGTGTGGCCAATGTTGCTTGCATAACAACCGCATTAATATTGTGCTAACATAGCGTATTTTGGTGTCTGTGAAACTAACACAGGTGTTTTCACTTCTCCACTTAGTTCCTGCTGCCTTTGCTGGACTGATGTACTTGTTTGTGAGGCAAAAGTATTTTGTCGGCTACCTGGGAGAGAGAACTCAGAGGTAGGTAACTGGGATTATTGAAAAACCACAGAGTGATTCACGCTTTTTGAGCAGGAAATGTGATAATTCAAAACAATGTTCTGACTGGCATTTATAGCTCTGTAGGAGCACTTTGGGTGGGAGGGGGAGGCTGATTAGGAGTCCTCCTCCTTGTCTCCCTGAACTTTTAGGGCTCTGAAAATACAGCTGGTGGACTTGCCCAGTTTTCTCATTGGAAGATTCCTTGGCCAGGCACGGCAGCTCACGCTTGTAATCCCTAGCACTCTGAAAGGCTGCAGCAAGAGGATTGCTTGAGGTCAGGAATTCAAGACCAGCCTGAGCAAGAGTGAGACACTGTCCCTACCAAAAATAGAAAAAATTAGCTGGGCGTGGTGGCAGGCACCTGTAGTCACAGCTACTCGGAAGACTGAGGCAGGAGGATCGCTTGAGCCTATGAGTCTGAGATTGCAGTGAGCTATGATGACACCACTGCACTAGCCCAGGAGATAGAGCGAGATCCTGTCTCAAAAAAAAAAAAATTCCTCCGTATGCTGTTGATTTCAAAGTGTGCCGCGCATTCCTGGCAACTCCACACCGTCTACTCCCACCCTTCAGAGTCTGGGGCTGGGGTGACTTTGTGTCTGGCTTCCCAGGCCTCCTGTGAGTACAACATTTCATTGTTCGTCTAGAGAAATGAGACCTAAAGCTTGCACCTTGCGGTAAGTTCGTTGGAATAACAGATCTTCCAGGGCCCCTCCGCAAGAACGCTGAGAAAAAGAGATGCCTCTGTGAGCCTGTGAGGCCGAGCAGAGCCGCCACTGATTGCGTCGTTTATAGATGTTGCCAGACAGAAAGCCCCGGAGCAGCACTGTACTGTCCTGACACCTGGATTGGGAAATCTGGATTTTAGCAAAATAAAGGAAGGTACTTGCAGAAGAGACGTCTGAGTTAAAGCACGCCACCAGTTCCTGAGAGACGGGAATTCCTGGCGGACCAGTGGGGCCCCGCGCCAGGGCTGCGTGCTGGGAGGCTGCTGCCCCCTGTGCCTGTCTTTAACAATAGCACCCCTCTCTGGTGGCTAATGGGCTCTCTAATTGGATAGCATCCTTCAGCGGTGACAAAGGCAGTGACATCCTCGGGAGGTCGACGGGTGAGAGCGATACATCTGGGGAAGCTGGGAGCTTGCGAAGCTCAAGGACTTGCAGGGCTCAGATTGTGAGCTGGGCTGCCGCCGGGAAAAGAATGACTGTTCTTACGGCAATTCTGTCCCTTGCTGTCTCTTTCTTCCTTCCTCTCTAGTGGCGTTCTTATTTATTCTCTAACACCACAATTCCGTCATCGCTCTTATTCTCATCAACACTGTCCAAAATGACATTCTTTATTCTCTTTTACCCTGGAAAACCTCTATTGTGTCTTTTCCCAGGTGAGCGGGAGGAGTGTCTAACAATGAAATAAGAGGGTCTTTGGTCTTGGGCTGGCTCCTGGTGTGGCCCCATCTTCCTCCCCCAGAGTCCCAGGGATCGGCTCAGTCACTCCTCTTCTCTTCAGCTGTCACCACCTGCTGCGGGTCCTTCAGTGGCTTTAATTCTGAGACAGGCTGCGGAGCACGACACAATTTGTCCACCTACCTGCAGGCCGTTTTAATTGTAAAGGTTTCACTAACTAATCCCTACTAGGGAATGAACAGAGGTGGCAAAAATAAACAAAAGAATATAGACTTCGAAGAACTCTTAGAAATATTAGATTTCTTTGGACCTCATTGGAATGTAAATGGCCTGACCATTTAAGTCCCTCGCTGGTCTCCTTCATTAGATGATAATAGGAAGATCCCACCAGCCCTTTAGCCCACTGTCTGTGCGGGTTCTAGACCCTCGTCCCCTCCCCTGTAGCCGTGGTAGGCATCGCCGATGAATCGTGGTGCTCTTTCTCGCTGAGACCAAACTTGGCCTCAGAATCCTTTCTAACACAGAGTTCTGAGCAGTCGTCCTCAGTAGAAATGGTAGATACTGGAAGAAATGTCTGAGCCTGAGACCAAAATACAGCCTAACAGACACAAGCCTGAGGGGCTCTCGGTTAAGTGCAAGGGGATTTTCAACTCTGCCTTCTAGAAACCACTTGATAATAACCTCTTCAGTTGCGGGCCCACCTCCTCTCTAGGTCGCCTCTCTGTCCCTGGGCTGTGTCACACCTGGACTCTGTAGACATCTAATGCCCTTGGGACCTGCTTTTGTCCTTGACCTCGCTAACTGAAAAGGATCCTGCTCAGTGAGATCTTTTCCCCCCTAAATTTCTCTGGTGAGCTCCAGATCATCTCTTGCTACTTCCTGGAAGTTGCTTTGGCCTTGACCACTTCAGCAGTTCCGGTGTCATTCTTGGTCCAGTGGGTAGTTAAGACATTCCTGAGCGTGTCTCCCCTGCCAAAACAACTATATTAGAATCGTCTAGGTGCTTATTGAAAATACAGATTCCTGGCCCCCACCTGGACTTAAATCAGAATCTCTGCCTGGGAGGCCCAGGAATCTGCATTCTAACACATTCTCCAGGTGAATCTTGCGCACGCTGGCGTTTGGGAATCACTGGAGGCTGTTCGTGCCTCTTTTCTGAGAATGATTCATTCATTTGAGAAATATTTGTGGAGGCTCTAATTTACTGGAGACGCGTGGGTGAACAGAGAAGACAACATCCTGCCCTCACAGAACTAACAATTTTTATTTCCTTTACAAGTCACCAGGTTCAAAGTGACATTTTCCTGTTGAAAAGAACAGAATTTTAAAACCAGAAGGGACTAATGTTTTCTGTTCCTACCTCGTATTTTGTGCACATGAAGAACTGGAGGGGCGGGGGGCACACAGAGGGTTGAGCGGGGGCTGGGACTCAGGTCTCCAGGTGCTCAGGTGCACCAGCTCCCACGCTACAGCGCCGCATCCTAGACGTTTTGGCGCATTCGAGATGGGCATTGACTAGCCTAATGCCACTTTTATGCTTTCGTGTAAGTTCCATGCTGCCTGTGGAGGGTGCAGTTGTTTCAAAACTAATAACTCACTCCTAGTCTCAGAGTGTGAAGGAGACGAGGAAGTCAGTGTGGTGCAGAGAGCAGGACTCCCACCTCTCACAGGCCGGTCTGAATTCTCACTCTGTCTCTTCCCGACTGTGTGACCTTAGGCAAATCACGTGACCTCTCTGCACTCAGTTTCCCCTGCTAGAAAATAGGTTAATAACATGCCCTCACAGAGTGGCTGTGAGAATTAAATGAAGTCATGGATATAAAACACCTGGCCCCAACAGATGCTTCATAATTTAATTCTGACCTTCCCCACCCAGTTAGAGAGAATTATGTATCAACTTTTAGAAACAATAAAAGAGGTGTCTTGATGGTTCGAGGGCTAATGATCCTGTGTGCACTGTCTAGGCCCCCAGCTTTTCCTTCTGCCTCATTTCAGGATCTCCGTGGCTCTGCCTGAGCCCGGGGCAGGTCTCCATCAGCACACGCCCTGCCCGCCTCCCGGGGCTGCGGCCCCTTCTCCAAGCTTGAGAGACTCAAAGATGCCATCTACGGAAGTGCCCAGCCTGGGGCCCCATTCACAGCCCTGTGCGGGAGGGAGCCTGAGACTGCATTCTTGCCTTCCACAGGCTGTGCATTGCCCGGGCAGAGTTAGAGAACCACAGTCCTGTCTCCCGTGGACACAATAAGCTTGGAGACCTTTGAAAAATCCTACCTAGCTCCAAAAACGCCACTCTTTCATCAGAAGGCACCGCCATTTCATTTTTCACTACGGTTTTATCTTGAGTGTAAAAAGCCTTCGCAAATCACTTTTTCTTGTTTCCATAATGAGCATATGGTGGCCTCATTCCCGTGACAAATCTGAGCTGCCACAATATTTGACTTTTCACTATTTAATTTATCTGAATCTTCTGTTTTCTGGCTAAAAAAAAATCCCTTCCTTGGACGCCTTCATTTTCTTTTCACTTCCTTCACCAGCATGAGCAGGTGACTCTCGGTGTTAGTCTGCTCGGGCTGCTGTGACACAGTACCACAGACTAGGTGGCTTAAATCAGCGGTCCCAACCTTTTTGGCACCAGGGACTGGATTCATGGAAGACAATTTTTCCACGGACTGGGGGTGGGGGGTGGGATGAGGTGTCGTGGGTGGGGGAGGGTGGTGTGGGACTCAGGCAGTGATATGTGGCCTCTTTCCTAACAGGCCATCGACCAGTACCAGGCAGGGGGTTGGGGACTGCAGGCTTAGAAAACAGAAATGTATTTTCTCACAGACCTAGAGGCTAGAAGTCCAGGTCAAGGTGTTGGCAGGGGTGGTTTCTCCTGAGGCCTCTTTGCTTGGTTTGCAGGTGGCTGCCTTCTCCCATGGTCTTCTCTCTGAGTGTGTCTGTGTCCTGATCACCTCTTCTTATAAAACACCAGTCAGATTGGATTAGAGTCCACTCGTGTGACCTCATTTTTACCTTAATTACCTTTTTAAAGACCCTGTCTCTGAATACAGTCCCATTCGTAGGTACTGGGGGTTAGGACTTCCACATATGAATTTTGGGGAGATTCAGCCCATAGCATTCTCTTTGCGGACCAATTATTCCCCTAATAAGGAGATAGACTGCCTTACTTCATGAATGTGACCATGAACATGAAACCAAGGAGAGAAGGACAAGGCTGGCCATGGAGCAGGGGAGTGTCAGGTAGCAGTGCTTTTCAGACTTGACTGCGGCCCATGGGAAGCTCGTCAAAATACAGATTTTGATTCACTAGGTCCGAGAGGGACCTGAGATTTTCCGTGTCTGACAAGCTCCCGACAGATGCTGCTGCTGCTGGTTCACGGACCACACTTTGAGGAGTAAGGAGCTCGACACTTAACTGCTGGAGTGACTTTCAAACTCTTGCTGTAGGAAAATCATGCATTACATTAGGAACATTTGGGGTGCCTGTCAAATAGATAACATTTCTACATTAAACCTGTGGTTGCCAAATTCTGCTCTCTCTGGTTGTAATAAGAAACAGGATTCAGCAGCGTTAACTCACCTGTTTAGCTTAGTTGGCTGTTCTCATGGTGCAGTCCCGATTGCCAAAGGACGCCCTTGCTGGGGTCTTCACTAACAGCCTGAACGAGTCATTTGACTGGACTTTCGGCGCCATTCAGACTGGCCTGGCCAGAATCGTCAGAGGAGGGTTCTGCAGAGGAAAGGTAGAAGCAGGGCAGCCTCTGTGTGCCATTAGGGGGTCACATCTCACCAGGGAAATGCCTCCTGCCCCCAGCTGGTGATCTGCCTAAGCAGCTATGGATTTAGAGGCTTTGAGAGAAGGATATAAATGTATTTAAAAAGTAACTCTCCCTCCACTCAAAAATATAGGGGCCTGTCTTCCACTGCTGGGCTCTCAGGGATGTGGATGGGAGCTGTTCCCAGGCAGCCCCAGGACGACAGATTGAACCCGCAGGTGCTGAAGCACCTTTTAGATTCCACCAGCTTTATGGCTCATCTAAACCGTCACTTCTAACAGTCCCGCGTTATACGCCCGGCCACCAGCACGGGCCTTGTAAGGGCGCAAGAGGGAGGGGCCTAATCCCCCGTCAGAATGCCTGGTGACCTGCAGACCCCGCCACCCTCAGGCCACCCCGGAGCTGGAGTGCGGAGATTGGAGGGACGGGTACGGCAGAGCCCTGGCGGCGGTGGGTTTTGAGGTGTAGGCTCTTTTAGCTTGGTTTTGAAATGTGTTCAGTGGCTAATAATAGCTAGGACACTTGCATCCTTCACATGCAGTAGATGGGTAAATGGAGCACTGTTGAGTAAAAGGAGCTATAATTTAAACCCCATGTGTCTAAAATTTCACATTTTTTGTGAAGTTGGTGCCATTTGTGCTGCATCTACAGTTTTCTTTTTCCTTCTTTTCCAGCACCCCTGGCTACATATTTGGGAAACGCATCATTCTGTTCCTGTTCCTCATGTCCCTCGCTGGTATATTCAACTATTACCTCATCCTTTTCTTCGGAAGTGACTTTGAAAACTACATAAAGGCGATCACCACCACCATCTCCCCGCTCCTTCTCATTCCCTGACTCTCTGCTGGATGCCGGGCTGGTGCTCTCATGTAATCAATTCCTAGAAGTCATCGTAACTCAGCCCTTGACAGGGTTCTGCTCCTCTTTAGGTAGCTGTAAATCTCACGGCCATCTGGGCTGCACAGCTCGAGTTAACCTTGCTTTTCCGGGAAGAAGAAAATTTCGTGTTGGCTCCGCCCCCTTGAACGTGGCCACGGCCCCAGTCTTGTTACTCAGATCTGTTCTGTGTGTTTCTTGACTATCTTGCTCTCCGAAGACGTTTTGTGACCAGATTTATGTTTTCCTAAAATAAAATGCAGAGACATGTTTTAGGCTGACCGTTGAGTGTTTTGTGGGTTGTGAGGTTGTTGTGGGTGTATCTCTATAGTCACATGCAACCAGTGTGTTTTCTGCACACAACCTAAATGATAATAATAAAAATATGCTATCTTTCCTACGGACAAACTCCTTAGGGACCTTTTACTGACCATGCACTGCCCCCCAGCTACACCCGTGTAGAATAAGTTGGTATCTTTATATGCTAGCATTGTGCCTGGCACTTACTGTGTCATGCAGTTTAAAATGTGCTGCCATTCCCTGTGAGAGCCTGAGATAATGGGGCCCGCGGGAGGTGCCCCCAAATACTGGCTGAACAAATGAATAAATGAATGAATGAGGTCATGAGTCACCAGCTGGTTGTATTTAATAAAATATGTGATGTGAGCCCTTTCTGCTATTGTGGACAGATTTATAGTGATCCAACTACTGTCACACTGGGTGCCACTTGGCACAAAGCGCACAACTTGGAAGATGGCAGGGCATCGTTAAGAGTCCAGGACACCCAACAGAGAAGCCAGCTCTTTTAGGGAAGTCAACATCATCAGGACTGAGCCTTCAATGGAGGCAACCAGCAGTAGGTGCGTCCCCTCATCTCTCAGGTGAGCGTCGGGATGATCACAAGCTTAGGAAGGATGTAGAACCTTCTCCAGCTCTCCCCGAGTCACCCGCTTGGGGAGCAGAGCTGATAGAGCATGGAGCCTTGCGTGGTCTGAGGTCCGAGTCAGTGTGCCTCGTGTGATGTGCAGGCAGGAGCATCTCTCAATTCAAGGGAAAGGCCCCAGATGGCCCTGGCTTCCCAGGCCGATCTGATGGTCCAGGCTGAAGCCCCTCCTGAGCTTGTGCTGCCAAACCCCATCCAATAGGAGCTTCTTGGCTTCAGGACAGTCGCCTCTGCTCTGAACTCTCTCTACAGAGCTGCGCTCTTCTATTCAAGCTGGGCGTTTCTTTTTCTTCTTGGTGATGGCGAAGGCATGGCAAGTTGCAGGATGAAAGGACCCCCCAGGGATCACACACCTCGGCTTGGTTTAGAGGTGGTGGGGTGATCAATCATCCCAATTTGCTGGGACGGAGGGGTTTCCTGGGATATGGGGCTTTCAGTTTTAAAACTGGGATGGTCCTGGGCAAACCATGCTGAATCAGTCACCCCAGGAGTGGGCTAGGCTAGAATACGCCCAGTGGAGCCGGGGACATCTTAGCTCCCAGAGGCCGTGCTGTCCAAACTGACCATGGCACCTTGAGGGGGCAGGGAGGGGAAACGTTGATGGCCCATCAGAGGGTCTGCCTGGCGGGGCCCGGGGTGGGGGCAGAGTGCGTGGCTGAGGGCGTGGCTGAGGGCACTAAGTGGGGAAGGGTATAGCAGACTTCATAATGATGAAGAGGAGGGTCTCAGGTGCAGAATTCCTGAAGAGGGGCCCCCGCCCCCATTGGAGGCAGCACTGAGTAATGGTCAAACTTCAGAGTTGCAGACATGGGGCCGAACCCTTGCTGCAGCTCCCCCTCAGTTCCGAGACTTCTCCCTGAGCCCCAGTTTCTCATGTGTTAAACTGGGACAGTAATAGTGCCAAGCTCATGGGGTCCTTGTGAGAAATAATGAGGTAAAGCAACTGAAAATATTTATAAGTGCTGAATAGAAGTTAGTCATTATTACTAGCTTAATGAACTAGTACTCTGTTGCAGCATAACAAATTTCTGCAAACTTGGGGGCCCAAAACAAGAGATATTTGTTATCCGACAGTTTTCACGAGTCAGAGGTCCTCACGGCCTGGCAGGGCTCTCTGCCCCTGGTCTTACAGGCTGTAAACAGGTGTCCGCCAGAGGCGCGATCTGGCAGAAGCTCAGGATTCTCTTCCAGCTTCCTGGGTGCGGGTGGAATTCAGTCCTTCCCAGCTGTAGGACCAAAGCCCACAGCCTCAGCTCCTAGAAGTCCTGTGGCTGACACAGCTTTCTCCATCACATGGCCATTTATGTCTTTAAGGCCAACAGGAGAGCATCACTGGTGCTTTTTCTGTGACCTTCAGACCCCCTTGTTGGGGCTCACCTGATGAGGCCAGGCCCACCCAGAGTGAGCTTAAAGTCAACTGATTAGGGACCTTAATTCCATCTGTAAAGTCCCTTAACCTTTACCTTACGACGTAACTTAGTGAAAGGAGTGAAATCATGTTCCAGGTCCTGCCCACACTCCAGAGGCGGGGATCCTACAGGGGGATGGGAAATGGGGGGTCATTTTAAGATTCTGCCCACGTCACTGGTCTTCCAGTCTCCAAAGAGCCAAAAGGAGCTGAGTGGATGTGATACTGCGGGTTCCTGGGGCAGAAGCAGGGTAGGATGCAGGTGTGTATGGGCATGCGAACTCCTGCTAGGGAAGTCCATGAAGAAGGCAACTGGGGTTTCCTCCACCTCCTGCAGGCAGGAAACTGTCTTAAGCTTTTCTCTGTCCCCTGTGGGAAAGGGTGCAGTGAGAGAACAGATGAAGTGAGACATGTGACAAATGAGCTCCTCCCTCACCTCCACTTTGACTAGAATAGGATTAATTCGTGAGAATCCCCCTGGCTGCAAAGAGATACCTTGTGCAACCAGGTTTTTATATTCACCCCCCACCTCACACCTTCCTCGTCTGTCTTGGTCAGCTTGGGCTACCATAACAAAACACCATAAACCGAGTGGCTTTTGGAACAACAGAAATTTACTTCTCAGAGCTCTGGAGGCTGGAAATCGGAGGTCAAGGTGTGGTAGAGTCAGTGTCTGGGGAGGGCCTGCCTTCTGGCTCCCAGATGGCACCTTCTCTCCATGTCCCCATGTGGTTCATGGGGACAATGAGCTCCCTTGTGCGTCTTTTATAAGGGGCACTGTCTTGGTCCGTTTTGCAATGCTATGAAGGAATACCTGAGGCTGGGTAATTTATTAAAAAAAGTTTAATTGGCTCCCTGTTCCGCTGGCTGGGAAGTTTAAGATTGGGCATCTGCGTCTGGGGAGGGCCTCAGGCTGCTTCCACTCCCGGCGGGAGGTAAAGGGGAGCCGGGGTGTGCAGAGATCACGTGGGGAGAGAGGAAGGAAGAGACAGCCGGAGGGGTGAGCCGGGCTGTGTATAGCGACTAGCTCCGGAGGAAACTAGAGTAGAGGGAGAACTCACTCGCCCCGAGGGAGGGTATTAATCGATCTATGGCTCAAAACACCTCCAACTAGGTCCCACCTCCCACACTGGGGATTGCATTTCAACATGGGGTTTGGAGGGAACAGACATCCAAACTGTAGCAGGCACTGATTCCACTCAGGGGGTCTCCACCCTCATGACCTAATCACCCCAAAGGCCTCACCTCTTAATCCCATTCACTGGGGGTTGGGTTTCAATATGCACTCTGGGGGGACACCAACATTCGGACTGTAGTGCCACCTCAGTAAATGTCCCATGGGTCACTCGGTTGCTCAGGCCCAACACTGAGGGGCTCTGCTCCACCCCCTCCTTCCTCCCCTCAGCATGCGATCATCCGCAAGCCCCATCGGCCCTGCCATCGACAGCCACTCCTCCCCCGCCGCCATCCCCTCCACTGTCGCCCTTGCCTGGGCCAACATCCTCGCTCTCCTGGACGACTTCCAGAGCTGCCTCCATCAGACCTTGTGCCGCATGCCCTTGCTTAACCCACCAGGGAATCTCACTGCTCTCAGGATAAGCCCCACACACCTTGTCATGGCCGCACTGGCCCTGGGGCATCAGATCCAGTCCCACCCCTCTCTCCCCTTCTCCAGCAGGCTCCAGCCACACTGCCCTCGGTGCTGCTCCCAGCTGGGAGCCTCCAAACGCCTGGCCTCCAACGCAGAGCTCTCCTCAGACCCCTGCGGCCCCTCTCTCCTTCTCCTCTGTGTCTGCAGCGGCGTGCGCCTCCTCTCCCAGCCCTCCCCGACCACACCTTGCCTGCGCTCCTCTGCCCCACTGTCTGCTATCCTTGTTTGACTTCTCTTCTCTGCACTTGTCCCACCTGAAATTAGGTCATTTGTGTACCCTTTTGCTTGTTTGTCGTCTGCCTCCTCCACTAGAACGTAAGCTTCCAAGGGTCAGGGGCTGTGCCTATTTCGTTAGGCTAGACATGCAATCGATGCCCAATAAATACATGATGAATGTATGAAAGAAGGAACTGGGTGATACGATTGTGTCCGCATGTCTGCGTGACCACGTGGTGGCACTTACGGTGGTTGTGGTGGTGCTGGCTATAGGCTATAAGCAAATTTGGGACAGCGAGCCTAAAAAGTGTTCTCAAACTTTAGCAAGCAAAGCATCAGCTATGGAACTTGTTTTAAAAAATGCAAATTCTTTAGCACTATCCCCAGAGATACATCAGGAATAAGGCCTAGGAATTAATATTTTTGTTAAGATGCTCAGGTTTTTCTTGATGCAGAAGGTTGCAGACCACCCTTTCGGGAGACACTTTTTTTTTTTTTTTTAGGGATAGGGGTCTGGCTATGTTGCCTAGGCTGGTCTCGAACTCCTGGCCTCAAGTGATCCTCCCACCCCAGGCTCCCAGGCTCCCAGGCTCCCAAAGTGCTGGGATTACAGGGGTGGGCCACTACACCCAGTCCTCAGGAGATTTTTGCTCTAGAGCTGCACTACCCAATACAGTGGCTCCTAAGCCTGTGAAATGTGACTCCGCTGAACTGAGATGTGCTGTAAATGTAAAATGCACGCCGGATTTTGAAGACTTAATACAAAAAAAAAAAAGAATGAAAAACATCTCATTAATAACGTTTTTATATTAATTACACATTAAAATAGTAATCACTGTGGATACAATGTTAAATAAAATTCATTATTAGAATTTCTCTCATGTGTTTCCTTGTACTTTTAATGTGGCTACTAGAAAAATTCAAATGACATGTGCAGGTCGAATTATATTCCTGTAGGACAGCACTGATCTGTAAGTCCCATGGGAGCGGGCAAGGCCTCACAGCTGAAATAAAGGCTGACCCCTTTCCAAGCACTCATCTTTAGGTATGATTTCTTGAAGGC